TTTGATTCTATAGGTTTCACTTTTAAATTTTGTTCAGGGCGACCAGAGCTGTGTTTAATCCAAGATCAAGTTTTCTCCAAGACTGAAACAAGACTGAAACTAATGTCTCAGAATTAGGAATTGTTTTCCTTTCTGGATGTTGAGAATAGGCCCTATTCTTCTTCCTGAGTGAGTTCCATGCACTGTAACTTCCTTTTTGGAGAGATTTCTCCACAGAAACGCACTGGACAGTATTCAATTGAATGCTCAAGGGGGACCCCCTCAGACCTCCAGATTCCTCTCCTGTGCACCTCTCTACCACTCTGGTTTAGCTAATTGGCTTCCCTGAATTCCTAGCCATCTCTCCTCCACTCAAGGAAAGCACGGCTCTGCCTCGGTACGCCCTCTCTGAAGTATGGCCTGGAAACTCTCCAGTCAATAAGCTGAAGATTCAGGGGACTCATTTCATTTGTATCTTGTCTTCAAAGATCTCTGCCTTTCCGTGACCGATGTTCAATGTCTTGATTGCTATTGTTTCATGTATTCTGTCCTCTATTTTTAATTTTCTTGCTGCTGTTTCAGATGGGAGGTTGTAGTCCCCTCCATCTTGGTTAGAAGCTTAAAGCTGGTTTCTAGTTTGTGGCTGACATAACAGATATAGCCTTAAATGTCACTGCACTCGAGTCTTGGTTCCGCGTTGCCTCCCTGATGGTGTTATATAAAGGGTAGTGCACTGTATTACAAATAATTTTGCCAAACTATCTTCCAAAAGGTTTTTTGACTAAAAAACATTTAATCTATACTCCTACTAATGGTTCTTTTCAAAAGCCCACTTTCCCATGTGTCTACAACACTGAATATTAGCAAAAGTGTACATCTTTACCAATTTGAAAGTTTTTTTTTTTCATTTTCATTTCTTTCATCGGGTTAAATTTTGTATTCTTAAATGCTTACTGGAAATTATTTTCTCTGGACCTGTTTATTTATGTCCTTTGGTTTTGCAGAAACTTGGTTTGTCATTTTTCTATTGATTTGTAAGATTTTGTGCAGGAAATTAATCCTCTATCACATAAATTACAATCCCCCTTCTTCTCCAGTTGGTAGTTAGTTTTTTGACTTAGGATTTTTTTGGTCATGAATCATTTTAAAATTTTGATATATCAAATTACCAATCTTCTTCGTGGCTTTGGCTTTTGCATATTTTCTGGGTGCACATATGTATATGTATATACAGGAGCTCAAATCTTAAATTCATAATTAATAAAATAGCCTAGCTTCCTTTTTCCTATAAAATAGAATTAGATAATAATATTGCTACACTGAATTCTAATCACTTATACTGATCAAGCTCTTATCGGCAACTGTCTTTGATAAACATGGAAGGACTAAATTTTTATATGTAAATGCAGCTTGGTAGGGAAGAATTTCAAAGTATGGGGGAAGAGCTGGAGAGGTATTACAAAAGGATCCTGGGTTTAAATCAGTCTTATTTCCCCTATATTTAGGGACTCATATTTAGATCCACTGGAAAGGTGGAACAATGGTGAGAAATTGAGAACGATGGCTAGAACCTACTGGGTAGGTTCTAATACAGTTCCTAAAGCCTGCGGCCTCCCCTGAAAACAGCTTCCTCTCCCCTTCCTTTGGATGGCCAGGGTACTTGCTGCCAGTGCCATGAACATACTTAGACTTTGTACTTTGTCACATGCTTTCTTCATGTTGTTGCCTAATGTTGTAAGTTCTATTTTTCCAAGAAGGCAGGTGCTGGAGAGCAGGGTCTTGGCATACACTTCTCACAACTGAGTTGTACTGAGCTTGAGTTCGTGCTGCTGAAGGCAGAAAAATGGCATAGAAACTACCTCAAATTAAGAGAACAGACTCCAAGAGGAAGGCATGCTATTCACCTGCTTGACAGGGCATGGCATTTGTCATTATCAGCCAGTTGCCAAGAATGAAGAGACCGGCAAAGGGAGGTAATATAGTGAAGGCTGCCATGGAGCGTGGAGCTGCTAGAAAAGCCAGGCACATTCCTTCCTGCCCATGCCGCCTCTTGTAACTCTCCTTCCATTTGCTCCCCACACATTCAGGAAAGGAAAAAAGAAAAATGATTCTAGTTTCAGAGGAAAAGTCAATGATGAAGAAACATGCTACACATGGCCCCTCTGCTGTGTCTGTCTTGGCTCATGGGATCCTCTGTGCCTAGTCTTATCTTCCTTTAAGTCTTCCACATTGAGTCTATACACTTCTTTGAGGCCCTCCTTGATCCTCATTCCCTCATGAGAAGCAGCTGCTCTCCCTCTGCCCTTCCAATCTCCTGTTTCACCTCTGCTTCATACTTCGCCATCTCCCCGTCTGACCCCCACCTAGCATCTTACTTATCTGCTATGTCACCACTAGCTGGCCCACTACTCAGAATGGTGCATGACAGATGAATTCAATAACTGGAGGTTTACCTATAGCACTTGCCATTAAGAAAGAAAGCTCCTGCTGGGACCACTGCCCCACTTGCAGAGGTGGAAAGCAAAATGCCTGGCTAACCACCTCCATCGGGGTTTGGTTATTTTCAGAGTGGCTGAGAATCTAAAAATGCAAGGTTCTTTAAAAAGGAAACTGCAAACCTCAAAAGCACATTACTGATTTATGGGATTTGCATAAGCTTTTAATGGCAGGGAGGACCTGGCCTGCTTCTCCCATATCCACTTAAGCATTATGCACTTTGCTTCTGGTTGCTAAATTATCTTGAACAAATCATCTCCTGCATCTACCCAGCTCTAATCTCTGCATGTTTGCTATCTTATCTGATGACCAGTCTTTGAGGACCACAGGTCAGTCTTTTTCTCTTCCCATTGTTTTAAATAACTATCCTGGAAGCACTGGATGCCCTGGAAGTTGCTCATGCTGCCCAGGAGCTTTTTAGGTGGTTGGAGGATAAAAGAAAGAAAGCATCAGCAGTTTCTAGACATTATTTTGTCGCATCAGCTGGTGGCCTGGATTTCAGATCTATCATTTGGGTTTCCTCTAATTTTTTCATTTTGTTTTGCAAAGCTAGTTTCTCCTACCTGTTGAGAGAAGAAAAGTGTTTCTTTTTTTAAAAGTTTGTTTGATTTTGTTTTTAATTAAAAAAAAAAAAAGTTACCCTTCTTTGTCACCATGCTTTGTCCTTCGTCCATGGAGAAATGAGGGGTATAAGAAACCATTAAGACATGTTTAACACATATGCTGGGGCTGAGGGGGATGGCGAAGAGATGTCACAAGATGACTGATTTTGAGGACATCATTTTTAAGTATCTTTTGTTATGTGGAAGTTAACAACAAAAGAGGTGTAGCTGACAAGTCATGAGGTCCTTCTCTTTTTAAGAGTTACCAACAGTAGTCCCATGTTTTCAAATACAAATTTGGAGCATGCAGCAGGTTCAGATCCGACAGATAGGCCCTTCCTACTTCTTTAAGGTGTTTTCCACACGTATCATTTTTAGAATTAGGATAATTCTGAAACCGTAAATGAACCCAACTGCAAATTGTTTCTCCCTGTAATTTTCCCTGCTTTTCAGGTCTTGCCCCACAATTCCTCTCCTATGTTCCAGCTCCACCTGCCTTCTTGAACACTAAATCAGTCCAGCCCCAGGGCCTTTGCATGTGCTTCCCCCCTCCCCCTTTTGTACTTGCTGAGCTCTTCCATGTGCTTGATCCATGCTGATTCTTCAGTTTAACTGTAAATTCACTTCCTCCAAAGCTTTTCTGATCATTCTTCCTGAACAGACCCCTCATTCTTTATCACACCAACCAGCTGTCTCCTGCTCACTCCACCCATCCTGCCCCTGGGAAGGAAGTTCAGTACATACATACCCTTTGCAATTAGAACGGATCTCTTTCCTTTGCTCTGAACAGCATACTTGCCACTACCCCAGTCTCTCATCCATGTTCCAGTGGCACCGTGGATGCAACAAGGATTTATAAAAACGTTTTTTAAATTAACCCCAAGTAATTAAAAAAATTAAATTTAAAAATGACTTTCCAAACAACTGAAATGTTATCTTAATGCTTCTGTCAGCTTAGTTCTTAAAATATAACAAATAAATCTTCTGAAAAGCATGGAGCAAAGTCATTAAAGTTTATTAAATGTTTGAGTTAATTATTTCTAAAGTTGTTTGATTCCTCTGTGACCCTATATTATCTTATTCTCAACAATAACTTCTTGACTCTGTTTCAACATTTCGGTTCACATGAATTATTCCAAATTTCTTAATTTCCAAGCAACACATTTAATTCTTCAGATTGTTTCCAAAACAGTCAAGGGGAAATCCCTGATGGTTTCAGCTGACAATTCCTTAATCAGGAGAGCACTGTGAATGCTAATCACAGGAAAGCTACAATTTACAGGAAAGAAAGGGGAAATGCTCATCTATTGCACAACACTCCGGAAAGAAAGCCTGGCTTATTAGTTGAACAGCATACTCATGCTGACAACTTTATCAAGAATTTCTAGTGACATCATAACTATGTTGGAGCAAATAAAATGTTTTTATTGACTATGTTTCTCAAAGTCCAAGGTGACCGGAAGATTTCCCTTCTTTGAAGATTTTTTGAGAAAAATGAAACATCAAATAATTTGTGCATTTTTATCAGACTTCTACAGGGATTTTGGATTTTAAAGGAAGCAAAGAACGAAGCTAAAGAGGATTCTTAGTTGGTGTCTAATTCCATCTAGAATTGGGGAGAGTGGTTTCCTTGATGGTTTCTGTTATCTGGTAGAAGAAGGGAATTACCTGCTTCTGCTTTTAGCTGTGGATGCACAAATCAAAGTCCTCTGCCAGTGGGCCAGAGCCAATGCCTTGGTAGCGTCCCCAGAACAAAATCTTCCCAAGTCACAGAGAGATGGTTCGAAAGCAGTAACTGCAGCAGTGTAACTTTGACCCCATTTATCTGATAAAATCATTTAGGTTTCATTTGCAGTAGTTATCTAACATATTAAAAGTGAGATCACCATTAGCACTGAGTTTTTCCCTTACAGTCTCTATATATTCATCAATAAACCATATTCTTTATTAATGTTTTATTACAAGTGATTACACACATAGGCATTGCGTACACACATCTTGTTAATGGTTACATTGTAATCCAGCAAGACATAGGATTCGAATACACACTTCAATAAATGAATAGGGGAAGGAGTGTAACCTAGGAGCCCAGGCAGGTCATAGTGACTCAGCCCCAGCACCAGCCTAAACGTTCCTTGAGATTTAGTCTTGAGCATTTATTTGTGAGAATGGTAAGGCGAGCAAGAAACTACCAGATACTCTAGGGACACTAGAGAAAAATGAGAGGAGCTTAAAGGAACTGGGGATTAAATGTAGTTACGGAAAACAGAAATAAAACTATCTGTGACTCTGGTTTTCATTTTGAAGACTGTTTTGAGTATCCCACACGGCGATTACACATTTCCATGTTACCTAATAGCTGCTGGGATCATTTATTGGGCACTCACTGGATGCCAGGCACGGCTCCAAGCGTTCTGCACACATTATTTCTTTGAAGCCCCATGACAATCCTATAATGTCCCAATTCTCATTTTGGGGAGAAAAAAAAAGAGCAAAAAAGGTTAAATAACTTGCCCCAAATCACACAGCTGGTGAGCTGGGAATGCAACTCCTTCCTGTCTAACTTGGTCTGAGTTATGGATGGTCTCTTTTGACATTTTGGAGCTAGTCTCCCTGAGGGCCCTTCAGGGCTTTAACAAAATGTTTCAAGTATTTTTCTGATGCTTCACCCTACTAATTACACAACCGATTAGAGTTTCCCAATAGAAAGGAAAGATACAATCTATTGTTTCTATTTAATCATATCTCATTCCACTTCAGTGTCTCTGTTTAAATATACAACAAGTGTCCCATCTATTACAGTAGAAATGAAAAGGAAATCGGCTTCCATCCTCCATATTTTATGATCTTTCTGAGGTTCTCACAGCTGAGCTTCGAATTTCCTTCTTAAAAACCTTTGAACCACAGACTGGTGCTTCTTGTTTTGACAGTCCAATCTTATTAGATCATGCTGCAGCTCAGTGTAGGCCTTGCTCAATACTCTGAAATTTCAGACCTACCAAAGCTGCTAAAAACTTTCTGACTGAGAAGTCCACGACCTCATGTGAAACTGGAGCCATGGGAATTTGAACAAATTAATAAAACGTATCTATGGTAAAGAGAAACAATGATGACAATGCCGTGACTCTTGGCCCCAAGCTCCCAAGGTGTTTAAGGAACTGTACGCTGGTTACACTTCCACCCAGCGATCACTCCACTTTGTGCCTCCACAACACAATTCCTTCAGGGAGCACTGCATGCTGGCTTCTGTTTTCATGCTCAAATTGCCCGCAAGTGGCTAGCAGGAGGCAACAGAAATGCACTTCCCCTTTCATCTTCAGAGTAAAGACATGGCACAAAGGGGCAAGAATTCGGGCTGGGGCAGATTTCACTAAGTGAGGCATGCTAACCCAAATGGGTGGGCTGAAGAGCCTGGGGGAGGGGGCTGGCCATGCAGCTGGTTAAAAAAAAGGAGGAGGCAAACAGCTTCACAATAAAAATGATCTGGGGCTAGAGCTGGAGCTCAATGGGAGAGCGCTTGCTTAGCATGTGGGACGCACTGGGGGTTCGCGCCTCAGCACATTAAAAATAAATAAAATAAAAAAGTACAGCGTCTATCTACAACTCAAAAAATGCTTAATAAAAAATAATTTGCAAATATTTTTGGGCATGCTGCCTGTGTATCACGTGGCCTCAGGACAGTTTTCCATTCTCGAAGAGAAACACGTGTCTTGTTTCCCCTCTGTATCTCCATGCTTCCTTCCCCAGATATAAACTACAACCTCAATCTACCTGCAGCCAAAAGCAGATGACTAAGGACAAGGCCAGAGGGTCAGACTGCAGGTTGCTGTTTGGCCTGTATTGCTGGAAGAAACCAGAACAGCAAAAAAACGCTACCATAAAGAGGGTCAAAGGAAGCAGACTTCTCTGACTCAGGAATATCAGGCGAGGATAAACTTCAACTCTGATTTTGAAATAAATGACAAAAAGAATGCTTTACTTTCTTTAAATCAATAGCAAAGGCTTGAGATTTAGTTATTCAGCACCTTGTTAAAACTAGGTCAGAGAGTGTAATGAGAAGAATTTTTGCTTTTCATTTGGGATTATATTGCAGAGAAATGGCACAGGGCTCTGTGGGAAGGTTTATAAACTCTCATGCCTTCAAGGCTAGGAAATGAACATGTGAATAGGATTTGGCCAGGTGGAGGCTGTGGCAAGGTAGAGTGGAAAGGAGGGCCACCATCTCATTTGGGCAGACTGTTTGCATGTGGTCAGAGGATACGTGGTCAGAGACGATACTGAAAAAAAAAAGTTAGAAATGCTGATTTTAATGTGAAACCTCCCAATTATTGTATGTTGCAACTAATTGATATATGTAATACACAACTGTGTGGGCCAAAGCCAACACATTTGTGGGCTGGATCCAGCTCACAGAGTGCTGCTGTCTGCCCTCGGTGCGCACTTGAGGCAAACTAGTGCTGGCACATCTCCATGGAGCCCACTGTGCTGCTGCTTGCTCAGCAGAGTCCTTATAACTCTACCCGTGAGGCCTCAGGGAGAGGTCCAAGAAGGGTTTCTTCCACTAACAACATCAAATCTACACTTCTGCCTGTTGGAAGAGGCAGGTATCCCAAGATCTCTAGGCAAATTTAGAGAGGTGCTTGCGAGGGAGATGAGATGGCTTCACAATGAGGCACAACCAACTATTTCCAGCCCCTACCAGGATTTAAAAATCCAGAATTTGATCTTTGCTGTCACCAGAGAAAAAAGAGTCCAGGAGATGTCAACCAGGATCTTCCAAGTGGCAGCTCAACAGGACTGGCAGAAAGGTTCAGCTAGGGAGAAAGGAATCATATTCCCCTCTGATCTGAGGGCACACTATGGAGTAGAAACCAGGGGAGAGCTGGCTGCCCAGTCACCTGGCCTCCTTGGCATCCTAAGCCATGCTTTCCACTGTCCTCCCAGACTGGGGGTTTCTAAACACAGCACTGCACATGGAATGAAGAGGGATTGGAAGGAAGGGGCTTCTATTTTACAGAGGAGATAGTCAAATTCAAGCTACAGACTAGGAACTATCACTCAGTTCTACCACAGGCCAGGAATCCTCAATGTTAAAAGAAGAGACAAATGCTGGACCTCTTCTTCCACATTCAGCGAGAGGAGAGCTGGCGTATATGTGACTGGCAGTGGGTGGAATGAATCTGTCCTCGCCAGCAGTGTCCACATCTGAACATGCTGTTGTATGGAATGGCATCAAAGAGAGGCAACACTAACACCTAACTCCTGCTCTACAGCCCTTGTGCTTTACACGGACTGACTTCTATGTTCCTTAGGGACCCCTAAGAACCAGGGGTACTATTATTTTCCTCACTTTACAGATGTGAAAACTGAAGTGCAGAGATCCTCACGTGGCTCCTCAGCCCTTCCCTGAGCTACAGATCTGATTTTCCAACTGCCCTCTAGATATCTCAGGCTGACATGAGCAACTCAAACAGTCTCCAGAACTAAGTTTTCTTTCTGTCCTGTCTCCATTCCATTTCCCCTCTTCCAGAGAGAGGCTTATTTATTTGAAGTGGTTTAAAGGGAGCCTTCGCTTCCAGACAAATCCATGTTCAAGTCCTAGGTAGACACTGACTAGTCATGACTTTGGACCCCTGAGTTTAGATTTTCAGTACAATTAGATGGTGATGATTCTGCTTATTCTCTAAGGTTGCTGTGACTAAATCAAATAATGTATTAAACACCTTAGCTCAGTGGCAGGTATATGATTTCAGACTGCCATAAAAAAGTACTTTTTATTATTCCATGTACCAGTGAATTCAGTATCTCTGTCATTTAACCCCCTAGGCTGGAAAACCAAAAGCCATGCTTCACTTCTGAACTTCTTCCCACTGTCTCTTAAACCACAGTCCCCAAGAATTGGCAGTTCTGCTGGTAACAGTCCCAAACCTGGATTCCTCCTCTCCACCCATTACCTTCATTGAGGCCTTCATATTTGTCTAAACCACGGAAACTACCTGCCAGCTCGTTTCCTTGCTCCAGGTCTATCCTTCAGCCCATACATCACAGGCACACCAAAGTCCTATTCCACATCGTTCCTCTGCCTAAAAACCGGCCATAGGTAAAACCTACATCCACACCTGCTAGGACTGGGTTGGCAGCTACCACTTAATATGCTAAATATCTTGCCAGAATCTTCCCTTATTATTCATTTAATCATCACAACTATGCCAATAAAGCTTGGAAAGTATCTTTGCTGTATAGGTTTTTCTAAAAATAAAGAGGTTAATCATTAGCTATAAATAGAAGTCAAATAACTTGTCCATGGTCTGAATCTGTCAGATTTATTATCACTGACAAGTCTGTTTATCTTGTCAGTGTGATGAATTTATGTCTTAGGTAGAGAATAAACTGGTGTCAATGTACGGGATGAAAATCTCATAGAAGTCAAAGCCAATCCAACCATCTCTTAGAAAGGTCAAACCCAGCCAGGATTGGAAAGGATGTTGCTTCTTTGGCCAGCACAAGAAGTAGTTGATATGCACCTTGGGTCATATTAGATGGACAATTTCTCCTTCTTGCCAGTTTGGTGGTGCACGCCTGTAATCCCAATGACTCAGAAGGCTGAGGTAGGAAGATCATAAGTTCAAAGCCATCCTCAGCAACTTAGTGAGGCCTTAAGCAACTTAGTGAGACCCTGTCTCAAAATAAAAAATAAAAAGGGCTGGGGATGTGGCTCAGTGCCCCTGGGTTTAATCCGCAGTACCATAAAAATGTTTTTAAAAATCACACTTGATGCAATGTATTTTACATTGTGAGTGTGGCATGGAAGCTGAGGCCACCTGAGGGAACAGCAGGTTGGGCTCTCTCATCTCATGCTCAGTGTGAAAATGCTACATAGAAATTACCTGCACCATTTAAATTTTCTCTCTCCATTTTGGCTAAGTATACAGCTTACTTAGTTGTGTACAATAGCAATGGATGTCTATAGCCAACGGGGTAGTACAGTGCACCCTAAGTACTTTTAAATTACTTGCATCTCCTACACAGTTAAGAGGGTACAGAAGCCACTTATCCTTGCATTTTTTGGTACCCAGAAGTGCACTTTGCAAATAGTAGACAGTTAATTTATAAAACTGCCTTATAGTTCAGCTCCTTCAATGGTCATCACAAATTTCAAATTAGTTAAGTATGAATTAAAAAGATTACTGGGCAGGTCCAGTTTATTTGGTCCTGAAAAATGAATTAACTTATTTTCAATTAGACTTCTGACTGACTTTCATGTTCTACACCTTGGTTTGGTTTTGATCAAGCAACTTGACTTTGGGGGTGTCCATTCAGTTCAGAACAATATCTCCCAGAGTAAGGAGCCTGACCCTTCCCATAGGCTCCTCTGTGTCAGAGCTGAGCACAGGTTTATAGGTACAGGCAGCTGCTCTGAAGGCTCATTTTCTTCTCTATATGGTCAGTAACAGGAAACTGAACCTTTCATATTTTGGCCTTTGATTCTATCCTGCCCTTAAAAAAGCATTCAGCAACATTGGAGTTTCAAAATGTTGGAACAGTGAGCATTTATAGTGTTCAGTTGAAAAATAGAGATGCTGGAGGTGAGAAGCGTCAGCTCTTGAACACTTTATCTGCTTTGTGCCCCAGGAAAAATACCTGTGTGATGTATCCAAGATTTTTTGTTCCTGATTTTCAGAGTCGTTTGAATGCATAGGCACCAATTTCCTATCCAGTTCCTGAGCAGGGGTCTTACAGAGTGGTCAAATGGAGTCTACAACTAGTCTGTTTCACCCAATCTGGTGGCAAGCACATCCCTATACTCACTAAATTACAGGATGATAAGAAGTCACACAGATCTAGGATCAAATACTGCCCCATAAGCTCCCCAGCCCCTTTCACCTCAACTTCCTTCTGGGGACAGTGTCATTTGGTCTACATCAGTGTTCTAATCTGCTCGTTCTATCTGATTAAATCGGAAAACACAGGTCAAGCACTTAGCAGTAGTTGCTGTCATTCTTCTCCCAATTTCACTTCCTGCTGAGCACCAAGTAAAAGCTGAACTCCTTCAAATGGCCTGGGAGGCCCTGTGCCATCTGCCCCTTATCAGCTCTCTGATGTCATCTCCTACTTTCCTTCCCCTTTCCAAGGGGACCTCCCCACAGGCTCCCACATCAGGTCTTTGCATGGACCGATTCCTCTCATCTATCCCTGGTGCACATGCAATGCAAGCAAAAAACACACTGCCTAGTGTGGTAAACTAATCTTGGGCAGACCTGGAGTTCAGTAGTGGCAGAAGAGGTCCTGAAATCTTGCCTGCCCCTTCTGAAGGATCTGGGACTCTGTCCCCTAGTAGCTAATACCTTGTTCCACATGCTTCCCATGAATAAGTTAATTTCATCTCACACTCTACCCTCAGCCTCATAGGGTAGTGGGGTATACTGTTTTTATTCTTATTTTAGAGCAGAAAACCAAGAATTAAGAGGCTAATTTGCTGAAGGTCACTGAGCTAGGAAGTGACATGAGCTAGATACCATGAACCACTGACACCTGCTACTTCTGGCCAGGAAATCATCATGTTCAGTAACTCCTTGGGATTCTGTTCACTAGGACTGCCACCAGCTTTACAGTTTCCTCTGGATGCCAACCACAAGGAGGCAGTTTTCCTTAGCACCCCTCTCCCTTTCTCTTTGATCTGAGTAGCTGGGGTTCTAGCATATTCCTGAGCCAACCCTGACAAGTTGTGATGGAGGAGGCCAGGAGAAATGGTCACAGGCACTGTTCATTTCAGGGACAAAAAGTCAAAGCCCAAATGTTTCATTTCCTTTAAGTAATACTTCATAAAACCAGCTAATTACTGTGATACAGAAGTAATTTTTAAGGTCAAATAATGACAGGATTGGAAGTCAGTGGGTCAGACAGGTCACTACTGGGAGCTGACATGACAGCCCAGTTAGAATGTTCTCTCACCCATTCTTCACCTTGGTAGTACTAACCAGTCCTCAAAGACTCACCTCAGCACTCTACTCCCTCCTCAGGGAGCCTTTGCAGACCAGCCCCCGTGATCACCTTTCTGTCCCCTCCTCAGGCCAGGGTAAGTGATTATTCTGTCTACTCAAAGCACCTTGGATCTTCCTCCTCTCTAACACTTGCTGAACACTGCATCCCTGTCTACCCCAGTGACCTCACAGATGTACACTTGAGAGCAGGGACAATAACCTTTCCATGTGTGCATCCCAGGTGTCTAGTGAATTAGAGAAGCTTGATAAGTGACTGTTGAATGGAACAGTGCCACCCTACTGAGACTCCACAGCCTCTCAGATCTCTAATCTGCCTTATCACCTTGGATCTGACTTGGACTGGCATCTAAAATATAGTAACCCAGTTCTAGTTCACAAAAGCCAAAATTATATGGTCAGGATAACAGTTCTCAAACTATATAACATTTTCTTTCTAAAAGTCAAAAGTTCCTTAACTAATCTCAGTAAAATCAACTGCCCCAAATTCTCATTAAATAATTGCATTAAAGAAGTAATTACATTTTCCTTAGGAGGCCCCTCTAACTTTCAGAAGGTAGCATGTTGACAAATAATCTCCTCTTGATCCAGAGACTTAGTGATGAGAAACCTGTATCAACTAGAATATTTATAACCTCGTGAGTACCACTAAGTACAGACCTAAAAATGCAAAATGTTTGTAGGTGTTGTTATAAATACATGAAAGTTTTACTTTCAGAATGTTCACTGGGTCACAGCAAAGAAACTATCAATATAGAGGAAAATAATAACATTCCTTTTTACTGGCATCAGCTCTTCCTGAAATGTGCTACCCTGGGTATATACGCAGATAAATATTTCAGCAATACATGGAGCAAGGAAGTATGTTTTAAGTATCCCGGGAAACAACTGCTATGGGATTATGAAGTCAGACTCTTCAATATCACCCCAAACTTAATCCTATTCATGCTGACTGACACTGCACTGAGTTATGCAGTTATCAAGAAGATTAATTTAAAAACCACCCTGCTTATTCTGAAGCAATGTTGACACGAGTCTCAAATTGGTGACAACAAACCACATACCACAGAGTATTTGAATGAATCAGAAATTCTGGGTGGGGCCTAAACTTAGGGGGAAAAAACAACAACAAAAAAAAAACAAAATGAAAAGAAATCCATAGATGAACTAGATGTGCGATCACCATAACACACACGTCCCCTTCACTTGGCTAATAGGTGCAGCTTTGGCCATGAGTCCCAGGAGCCAAGAGACCAGCCAGAACATCTGACTTCAAACAGTAGTTCTCACACTTACTGGCCCGGACTTTGAACGAGTTTCATAACTTTGTTTCCTCATCTGTGAAATGGGAACATGACAGTACACACCTCAGAGGGCTGTGGTCAGGACCAATGAGTAACTTATCTGACGTGCTTGCAACACTGCCTGGCAGGCAGTCAGCATTATTTCTGCAACTATCTGACTTCAAAGTCCATGCTATTCTGCCACATAAAGGTTAATGTCACACAGCATACACATTTACATTCTGATACCTTTCACAACTGTTTTGCCTATTGGAAGTAATCAATAAGTGTATGTTAATTATGCTATTCCACTCTGTGTCTCATTCCAGAAAGAAAAGCTGGGGTGGAAGAAGTCTTAACACAAAATTTGGCCAAACATAGGAAATCATCTCCACCATTTAGAACATTGGAATAGGCTGCCTGTCCCCAAAATGAATACCTGGTGAAGATTTTCACAGAGCAGATTAAAGAATGACCTTTGCAGGGGAGGGAAGGATGGGCTGTGGTAAGCTCCAGGGAGTCTCGTTTGTACTGGAGAAGACTGCTGGCTTCCAGAGCCACCTTTTGGCCAGGCATTTTTGTAGGCATGCACATTTACCTTAACTGAAAAGCATGAAAGCAGAAACACAGGTTACTAAAAATGGGTTTGCTTTTGAGTGAATATGCGAAAGAGGTGTTACCTGATTCACTGCTTTCAGGATATATCATAGTAAAATGGCCCAGTGAAATGATCTAACAGTTTAATTGGATAAGTAACTATGAATAACTTCATGTTTCTAAATGAGAAAGAAAATAAGCCCTGAATTTCTAAATATACTCTGTATTTTCTCTGCAAAATAAGGAAATCAGTATAAGTAACATTCTTTTTATTCTAATTTCTTAATAGAAAAAAAAATCCTCTGATTCACGTTTGTTCCATGTAAGTGCAACTTGACCATCCCTACCACCCCTCCACCCCAGTGCTGGGGATTGAACTCAGGGTGCTCTACCACTAAGCCACATTCCAGCCTTTCATTTTTCATTTTGAGACAGGGCCTTACTAAATTGTCCAGGCTGGGCTTGAACCTGCCATCCTCCTGCCTCAGCCTCCAGTCGCTGGATTACAGATGTGTGCCACTACAACTGGCTTGACTTTTTTTTTTTTTTCTTTACATGAATAAAGAGCCTTGAGTTTGCTTCTCTGCAAGGAAACATTCAAAGCTGCTGTAAAAATTACCACGAGGTGGGGGAGTCCTAGGAGAGTAAAATTCATCAGAGCAAAATTCATTTGCATCCCTATTAGGGTACGCTCCCTCTCAGGCACACAAACCTGCATATCTGTTCTCTCATGCCACTTCCTCCCATTTCTAGTATGTGACACAGAAGAAAGGACAGCCTTTTACTAAATATGCCATGCCTGTAGGGGAAGTTGAACATGGGTTGGGGGAGCTAAGGTGTGAGCTCTGCATACAGCGAGCACCATAGTTCATTAAACCTCCGTTTGTAAAATGAAGATGAAAACAGTACCTAGTTCAGAGGGTGAGGGAAAGAATTAAGTGAGAATCTGTGTAGGTTATCGGGACAATGCCCAGCACACGGTAAATGCCCAGTAAATGCTTACTTTTGTTTTTTTTAGTATTAATAGAAACTGGGAGATGCTATTACTCAACTATAGAATCTAAACTATAATTCCTATTAGTACCTCAATAAATATTATTTAGTCCTTTGATATTCTGAAGGCACGTGGAGCAGGACTACTCAGTAGTTCAGAACCTCAGTGTGGAAGCCATTATTATGGCATCATGATATACTGACATTTCATCCAAAATAATATTTAATTAACAAAATGCTCAAAAGAGAACTGACTAAAACTTAACAAACAAATCCAGCTTTGTAACTAAATGAAGATGCTGTTTCCCTTTACTTTGGGAGAGACATGATTCAAACACTTCCTATAAACCTAGTTATTCCTTTCAACCATTCCCCAACTGAGCCACATGAATCCACATTAAAAGTTAGGGAACAAATAATGCAGAAGGCGTATGGTGACCTGGTATGAATGGATGAATCACCAACTCTTGATTCTTCTCTTTTCTTCTTTTGTCCCACTTAGGCCCTCCCCCAGTTGTGTTACCTGAAGGAAGGAGGTCACAGCCCAAGAGGGAGAACTTGGATCTGCACCTGGCTCTCTGTATGGGTCTGAAAACATGAGCAGTCTGCTGAGGTCTCTTTTCTGGGGGAGGTTTCTGAGGGATCATGAGTCCCTGTCTGAAGAATGCATCCTCTGAATTCTGCTAAAGTTTTCTTTTCTCATCAAATTGGCCTTTGTAGATGTTCTTTTTATTTTATTTTACTTATTTGTTTCTTTTGCGGGTACTTGGGATTGAACCCAGTGGCATTCTACTACTGAGCTACATCCCCAGCCCTTTTTATTTTATTCTGAGACCTGGTCTTGCTAAATTGCTGGGCTGTCCCTGACTTTGTAATGTTCCTGCCTCAGCCTGCTAAGTCACTAGGATAACAGGCGTGCACCACTGTACCCAGCTGTGGAGGCTCTTTTTACATATCTGTGGCTGGTGAAATCAAGAAGATGAAATTCTTGATACCTTCCAAGTCCTGTATCAATTTTCTTTCTTTGTCAGAAACACAAAGATCACCACAGTAGGAGTTCCAAAAGATAAAGAGATGGAAGGTACAACTAGTACAGAGAACAGCCTAGAAATACAAGCTAAGGGCTAAAAGTGGCAGTGCAGTTACTGGAAACAAGAGGTATGGAGGCAACCAAAAGTCAAAGAAAGGTTCTTTCCCTTCTTCTGCAGCCAAGATCCGATGTCATCACAGCAACACAACATTCAAGAAAGCCCAACCTATTTTAAGTAGTTTCAGGTGACAGATTATTGGCCCACAATGAAACACAGACTGACAGAACACAGGAGAAAAAGTTCACTGTGCTGTGAACCACTTCTAATCTTGACTGATAAAACCAGAAGAGACATGCATCTCCATTTTCAAGTGCTTACTGGGTGACATCACACTGTGGATTTAATCGAAGTGCTGTCTGGATTATCCAGTAAATGTCATACAATAGTACATGAGCAACTCAGATAAAAGCCCTGGAACACTGTGAGTGAATTCACTGCAAAACCCACCTCCCAGGTGAGTGTGTATTGTTAACTCCAAATCATTTACCTTGAGTTTTTTCCAGATATAACTCTAATCCCATAAATAATGGCATTTGTCTTGTACAGAGCTATGGTTTTGAGAAAGTTGATCTGGTCATTTAAGACAGTATCCATATAAAAGTACAAGATTAAAACTTCTGCCTTAGTTAGCAAAATAAATATTACAATATTAACCCATCAGGGAAATGCAAATCAAAAGGAGATAGCACTTCACACCCGCTAAGATGGCTATAATCAATAAGACAGATAATAACAAGTGTTGACGAGGACGTGGAGCAATTGTAACCCTCACACACTGCTGGTGGGAATGTAAAATGGTGCAGTCGCTTTGGAAAACAGTCTGGCAGTTCCTAAAAAGGATAAACATAGAGTTACCATATGACCCAGCAATTACACTCCCAGATAAATATCACAAGAAATGAAAAGAAAGCACATGTCTACTTGTACATGAATGTTCACAGCAGCATTGTTCATAACAGCCGAAAGATGGAAACAAGCCAAATGACCATCAGCTGATGAGGAGATAAATAAAATGTGGTATATCTTGTTACGGCATTAAAAAGGAATGAAGTACTGATACATGCTACAACGTGGACAAACTTCAAAAACATTACATTAAGTTAAAAGAAGCCAGACACAAAAGACCACATGCATATTTATACAAAAAGTTCCAAACAGCAAATCTACAGAGACAGAAAGTAGATTAGTGGTTGCCTAGGGCTGGGGGAGCTTGGGAGAAAATGGGAAGTGAATGCTTAAAGATATAGGGTTTCTTTTTGAAAATATTCTCAAATTGATTGTGAAAATGATAGCACAGCTCTGAAGACACAAAACCCCAAAGTATCATAGACTTTAAAGGAGTGAGTTGTGTGGTATGTTAATACATCACAATAAAGTTGTTGTACAAAAGAATCTTAGCACATCGGAGAGGAGGAAGCATGTTGTCCAACAAGGGGTCCTCGGGCCATCATCATTCCCCGTGTTCAGTGTTCAGCCCACTGACTAAAGGTTCCAGCCCTGAGAGGTGGCCTTCATGTTCAGGGCCTCACTCAAGTTGCAGGTACACCTGTCCCTTCTCCTAATGCCTGTGCTGGAAGCTTCCCTCCGGTTGTGTTCCTTATGACAATTAGCATGGAACTGCATAGAGTAGATGCTCAACCACCTTCTAGTGAACTGAATTCAAATAAATTTCAAAATTAATCCACAGGAGTCAGTCACACTACATTGTATATGGGGAAAGCTGGTCTGTGCCACCACAGCCATCTACCAATCTGATCTGAGGCATCTAAAATGTGATAAAGTCCTTCAAATCCAGCCAGTTCTGGTTATAACAATATGAGTCACACTATTCAATTGCCCAGTTTAGATCTCCCTGGATAAACTTCTTAGGCAGAGGTTACTTCTAAATGGACTAAAGGACCTGATCTCTGAGAGCGTGAGGTGGGGCAGCACTCTATTTCCCTAGTATTTAATGCCAGGAAATCCTCACGTGGCTTTTGTGGTGACTGTTTTGTTAATTCCTACACATGACCTCTGAAGCTGGTCTGCCTGGCTGTGCATTTGAGCCGTTCACTTACTAGCTGTTCAACCTTGGGCAAGTCACTAACAGCTCTATACTTCAGTTTTACCATTTGTAAAATAAGAATAATATCACATGCCTCTAGGATTTTTGCAAGGGTATAAATAAAGTACTTAGTATGGTGCAGAGGGTATAGTAAGTGCTCAATAATATAAGCTATTATTAGAGTAGAATTTAAATTTACAGAGTCTCCAAACAGAGATGAGGCTCACTGCTACAGTTTGGACACTGGGATTATAGGTATGTACCACCATACTTGGCTTATAGTTTGGATCTGAAGTGTCCCCCAAAGGTTCCTGTGGCAAAGGCTTGCTTCCCAGGGCAATGTAAATGGGAGGTGACACAGCCTTTAGGAGGTGAGGCCTAGCGCAGATCTTTGGATTACTGGGGATGTGCCCTTGAAGGGGACCATGGGACCGGGCTCCTTTCTCTTCCTTCTTGCCTATGAAGTGAGTGGTTTTATTATGCCACACACTGTCACCATGAAGTGCTACTTTGCTACAGGCTCATAAGCAACAAGGCCAAATGTAGACTAGAATCTCCAAAACTGTAAGCCAAAACAAACCTTTTCTCTCAGAAGGTGGTTATCTCAGGTATTTGTTATAGCAACAATAAGAGATTACATGGAAGTGCTGCACCAGACTAAAGGGGATGCTGGTCAGGTGTGCCCGGCCAGTGTTCTGAGCTCACTTTTCACGTTGTAGAACACTGAGGAGATGATGACAGGCTTGAAGGGCACCTCACCATCCTTTGGAAGGGAAGGGAAGATTAGTACTTTTCAGAATCATTATGATCTTAATTTTCTTCTGGATTTTCCAGGTCTGCGAGAAGCAGGGAACGACAATACTACCTGTGGTAGAGGCTTCTCAGTGACATCGCCTAAATTCTAACTACCTTTTTTTTTCCTTCCCTTTTGACAGATAACTTGTTTGAAACAATCTCAAATTTTGAGGATACAAAAGAATTTTTCCCATTATTTTCCTTTCCATCCTGTTCATATAGCAGACACTGAGAATACTTACTAATATCCTTTTCATCCTGGGTCCCCAGCTATAATGTGTCTGGTCTTCCATAGAGGTAGTGTGATTCTGTGATTCAATCTTGGCCAATAAAATGTGGGTTGAGTGATATGCACTTCCTGGTCTAGGCCTGGCCCAACCTCCCTCACGCCGCAGGGAACAGCTCAAATAGAGGGGTTTGGGGAGGATGGAGCCAAAAGATGGAAGGAGCCTGGGTCCTAGAAAAACCAATAGAACAACCTCTCACCCCACACTCATCTACACTGAACTTTACAAAAGGGAAAATCAACAGTTGTAAGCCACTGGAGTTTGAACTTGTTTTTTTAGAAGCTCTGTTACTTGCTCTAATTAATAAAGCTTGGTACACAACTCTGCTAACTACTATTAAAGAGATATGGCTTGCTTCCAGAATAGTTCTCTGTTGGATCCTGGCAGCAACTACCTTAACATAACTCTAGAAAACCACATTTCCTAGATTCCTTCTCCTCTAGTTTCTTTTACCATCACTAAGATCATTGGAGACAATTTTTCTATCATATCGACAGCCTCTTGTTGTATGATATGATGCTGCCTGACTCTCCTTTACTGAGTGTATTTTTCGCTCTATCATTTGTAATCTTAACCCAAAACTCCTTGCAGAGTTGTGCACTTAATTAATTATTTGCCATCATCAGAGAACTGTTCTATAATTATATCAAGCTCTGGGCTAGATGCATATCGACTTAAAACTGGAAGATAAAAATGAAAGGATATGATCCAATATTAATGACATGTATTTACAATTTTATATGATCTTCTATAACAGTCTTTCAGTAACCCTTATTTTAATGTACACCAGAATTTTTGTGTGTGTTAAAATTATGAATAAAATGAACTATAAATGGAATAATTCATGATTACTGTCTCTAGCCTCACAGGATAAATAAGCAAAGGTACAGCTACCTTGATTTTTGACACCATCAATTACTTTTCTCAAAGTTTCTCTTCTAGTTTGGTGACCTTTCCTTTGCCTGCCTCTCCCAAACCCCTCGGGTTTTTGCAGCCCTGGGAACTGAACCCAGATCTCATACAAGCTAGGCAAGTGTTCTACCTTTGACTACATCCTTGGTTCCTGGACTCTCCCTTTTTTACCTTCTTAGTACTTACCCCCATGAGCTTTTTTTATTTGCTTACTTGTTTACTGCTTGCTTGCACTACAAGACTATATTTCCCACAAAGGCAGGGCTTATATTTGCTTCTTTTATCCAATTAATATTTACTGAATGCCTGTAGTGGTCAGGTACTGCTGCAGGCTCTAAGTGTGAATTTTTAAGATGCACTTAGCCTCAAGGTGCATAGTCTAGTAGACGAAAGAGGCAATAAGTCTGTATCTACCGTCTACTGTGTGAGAGCTACTACACTGTGCTTTTCACTCTTTTTGCTTCCATGATCTGGATGGCGGGAGGGGTAGTCAGTCTAGCTCATGAGGGTCCACTCTGAGAACTTCCTTGTGGCTTTCAGGTGGATACCAAGGTAACTGTATTCTGTCATGTGGCTCTGGCTCCTTGACACAGTTGCCTGGACCACAGTGGATTTCTGATCTGTGCCGAACCAACCAACTTCTCTCTTCTGAGAGGCTAGAATTGGAACTGAGAGATTCTAATTCAGTCTGCGTTCTGTAGTTGAACTGAAAGAGGACATATAACCCAGAGTGCTATGAGGAAGTTATTTCTGCCAAATGGCTGGAGAAGCTGAGAAAGCCAGGCTACTTTGAAAGCAAAAGAAGCAAATCATGAAAAGATGTACAGATGAGATTTTATAATCCGAGAAAGACTAAAAGTTGAGCCCCATCTCCGATTCTCGTTCCTTTTCTCATGAAATAACTCTATTTATCACCTATTTTAACCTTTTTAAAAAAATTTTTACTTTTTGCTAAAGCCACCTTGTGTTTGTGTTCTTTGCTTTCAACCATGTCTTAATTAAGACATTTCTAATTAACATGACTAGTAATAGATTCTATTAATGTCATAAAAATACCTCTGTTGGATTTAAATACTAGGAATTCTAATGATGCTTCTCAGGTGCCTGCCTAGAAATTTCCTGTTTTCTACATTGGTGATTTCACAATGCAGACTAATTTCCACTCAAGGACAAAATATCAAAAGCCAACATTCTTTAAACTCTATGACAAATACTATCACATGGTACACCAGCTTTTGTGGCTAGTTAATATTCAAGGCAGAAAATAATCATTATCATCATCATAAATGGTATATTGGTACTTATAAACAAAAAGGCTTTGATAATAAATGCTTTGATTTAAACCCAGTAATTGATTAGCTGTTCTGATTAACAACTGTTAATGGAAGATACCAGCTTTGGAACTCACCTAAAATATATGGCTCTAAGGTTCTACTCAAGAACAGAAACCTAAGCATTATATTCAGGGGGCGGTGGGTTGGCAGGAGATAGGCTTTAGAGAATTCAACAACAAGCACACACACAACACCTGCTACTTTTAAAGTGTACTCCAGTAGTAGAGAGCTACTCCAGGCACTGTGAATGTAAGAGGAGTAAAACTTGGTCTCTGTCCTGAATGAGCTCCCAGTTAACCGGGAAAGAAAACAAGGACATGAAACCATAATGCCCTCCTTGAGTGCTAAGCAGGAGACAGCAGAATGGATGAGAGACATCTAACCCCTCTTGAGCTGAGTCCAAACAGGAGTAGACAAACTGAGAAAAAGGGCAGAGATGGGATGTAGGGAGGGTCTGT